AACATATAAGAAAGAATAAATGAAAGAATGAGTGAAAGACAAATAGGAGACAAGATGAAAGGATAGAGAATGGGGACATAAGGAATAAGAAAGAAACAAATAGTAAAGCTTATAAAGAAAGATTATAAAGAAAGATTATAAAGAAAGATTATAAAGAAAGAATGAATTAAACAAAGAAAGCATGAAAGACGATGAAAAAAAATCAAACGAAAGACGTATGACTTAAGGCATAAAAATATGGCGTTAAAGGCAAAATGAAAAGTAGATTTCAGAAAAAAGAACACCAGGAAGAGATAGTTGAAATTTATGGGGGTACATAATGAGGAAAGAGTGCTTGGAAAATTTGATACTCATAGCTCAGATTGAAAACAGGAGGAACAGAGGAAAACAACGCATAACCGATCAATAATAAATAATTATTGCTCTATTCTCGGTATAGAGCGCTCTTTTGAATTAATCCTGTGGACGTTAGAATTTATATATTATTTTCGCTCTGATTACATTCGTGTGTATATATATATATATATATATATATATATATATATATATATATATATATATATAGATATACAGGGTGTCTCAAAAAATGTACTCACACCTTAATTGTCTCTAACATGCTTTTTTTTTGCTTTTATGCAGATGTAATTAATTAATCACAGCATGACAGGAAAACAACTTAGTTTGGAAGAGAGGAAGTTTGTCTTGAAATGTTACCGGAAGACCGAAAACGCCATTAAAGTGCAAAGACGATTCAGAAGGGAATTCGCAAAACCGCCACCAACGCGCCGGACCATTGCTAGCATCAGAGACAAATTTGAAGCAGATGGAACCGTCCAGAACGTCAACAAGAAACGTTCTGGACGACCACGGACATCCACGACCCCTGGAAAAGAAGAGCAGGTGCAGGAAACACTCCTTCGATCAACACAGAAATCACTTCGCCAAACTGATCGGGAAACCCATCTCAAAAGATAGCATCTATCGCATCATGAAGCGTCTGCACTGGAAATGCTATATTCCAACACTAATCCATGCTCTCAATAAAGACGATCCTGACCGGAGAGTTAAATTCTGTGAATGGTACCTGGCAAAATGTGCAGAAGATGCAGGGTTTCCACACAAAATTGTGTGGACCGATAAGGCAAACTTTAAATTAAATAGCTCCATTAATCGCAATAATTGCACGTACTGGGGTCCTATAAATGTAACACTTGAACACCATGTAAACTTACCAGGAGTAACAGTGTGGTGTGGGATATCCGCATTGGGCATCATAGGACCATTTTTTTTAACGGAACTCTCACTGGCCGAGAGTTACCTCAACTTGCTTCAGGAGTTTGTCGGTCCACAATATTTAGAGATGTTTGATGACGGCGAGATTTATTTACAGCAAGATGGAGCACCTCCCCACTACCATCGCTATGTATTAGCTCACCTCGATGCAACTTTTCCAGACACATGGATTGGACGAAGGGGTACCATTGAATAACCCTGCGCATTCCCCAGACCTCACGCCCATGGACTTCTTTTTTGTGGGTATATCTCAAAGACAATGTTTATCGCACCAAACCAAGAACAATTGATGCATTGAAATTGGAAATTGAAAGACAATGTCGCGATATTCCTAATGACCTGTTTCGTGTCGTTTGCGAATCTCTTAGTGCGAGTTACCAGCGTTGTCTGGACAATAATGCACATCAATTTGAACATTTGCGAACATGATTCTTCAATTACATTTTTCTTTTGTATTCGAAGCTATTCCATTTCACTCTATGTTCATAAAGAAAGGTTTTCTCGTTATTCAAAGTGTGGGCCCATTTTTTGAGACACCCTGTATATATATATATATATATATATATATATATATATATATATATATACAGGGTGTCTAAAAAAAAGCGGCCCTTTAAGTAAACGCAATTTTACTTTCCTTCGTCCCATCTCTCTCCCCACCTCTTCTTTCCCTCCCACTTATTCTAACATTAGATTGTCTATGTGTGTGTATGTCATGCATTAGAAATGTATCTTTATGCATTAGACATCCGTCCCTCCTCCTCATACTTACACTCTCTCTAAATTCTGTTTTTATTTCCGGTTGCTTTTATTTTTTTTTTTTTTTTTTTTTTTTGAATTTGTAGGTCTGATGAATTGGATCGTATTTACGATTCCAATGGAATAAATTATGACCATGGGATATTAGTGTTTAACCTTTTTACTATATATATATATATATATATATATATATATATATATATATAATACTGGGCTGTTACAATGGCATCCGCAATTCTTGCTTGACACATATTGATCTTGAAGACTGTCGGTCATATACACTAAATTATAATATTCTCGCTCAGTTCCGTTTATAGCAGTGTGTAGAATGTGGTCCACTCACCACACCACAGAGGTTCCACCTGTGATCATAGCTTGTGTAGCAGTTTTTGGCCAAGACCATCATTCTCCAAGTCCGATAACCCCCATATTCTGTAGGTCTCACTCCTTACGACTTTTACCTCTTCAAAAATCAAATCCCACTTGAAAGGATCAAGATCTGAAGACATCGAGGAAATAAAAGGGAATGTAATGAAGCGGCTGCTCGTTATCGCTAGGAGTTCAGGAATTATTCTATCAATGGAAACTACGCTGGATAGAGTATGTGAATTCACAAGGGGACTATTTCGAAGAAGATTAAATGCCGAATTCATATATCTTGTAGTCTTTTTATAGCACCGGTCCGATTCCTTTTTTTTTTTTTTCATCGGTTTTATAGGCTTTATAAAATGTTTTATAGGATTGAAACCCGGTGAATACAGAGCCCATTTTAATACAGAAAACTTATTGCTCTATTCCATGAACCAGTTTGTCACTATTTGTGACACAGTGCATTGACCCGTAGGAAGTGGTCACCAGGGGATGGGTGCGCAGTAATCATGAATTGAGGCCAGTGGTTAGCCACCATATGTATGTCGGCTGCGGTATTTGATCTTTTATTGCTTCTATCCGACTGTCTCATCAGAAATCGAGACGCATCAGACCAGACAAGGTCAAATTTTGGCGGACGTATTAAAACATATATAATTGAAGAGCCTACATCCTCAAATGTATATATATATATATATATATATATATATATATATATATATATATATATATATAACAAAACAGACATCCTACTCTTTTGCTACGTTTCAGCTCTCACTAGTTCTATGAAACTCACCAATTATCTCTACCTAACCCGATGATGACTAAAGAAAGCAGAAAGTATGGAGCATATTTCTTGTATCTTTCCACCGAAATAAACCCCGGAGTATTTCTGACGGAACTTCGCCCTTTTCTGAGAACGATTATTTTGTAATTTTGAAAAGTCGATCATTAAAATTAATCTACAAAATTTCTGCCGTTCTTAATATTTGCCTTTAAAAACATTTTGCTTAAATACAGAATATATATATATATATATATATATATATATATATATATATATATATATATATATATATAGTACAGGTAATCGATCCGTTGGTAGATAATCCGGGTGGATACAAGTAATATTAATTATTAAAACTGATCCAGCTCGATGTATTTATTATAACAGAGCATTTGTATTTTTTACAGCAAAAAAAAAAAAATTACCTTAACATGGGATAATCTATTTCAAGCCGTTCTCTCCGCGGCTATCATCAGCCCCTAAGTGTCTGTCGCGGAACATTGTTTTAAATTTACTTTCAATGTCAGTCCTCCTCTGGTAGACGCCTTATATATATATATATATATATATATATATATATCGAGAGAGATTATTGTCATGAATAATAAAGAGTGGTCTCCCCTTGTTTTGTGACTCTCCTCTTTGAGAGAACTATTTCGGTTTACTAGGACTATAAAAGGATACTATACGTGACCCTTCTGTTCTCTGTTGAATAAAGGTTTCTTAAAGCCTACACCTACGTACTTTTGTCATTACAATTATTATTATTGTTAGGAAGGAAATCACATGTTAAGGGACTCATATACGTGCTTATTGTCATTTTGTCCCGAAACACTCGCCATTTTAGCATTGTTATTAGCGGTAATCGAATTAGAAGTACCTGCAGTATGCGTGGCAGTGCGCCTTCGTTTCTTTTCTTGTATGTAACGGATCAGAAGCTCCAATGCTCATTAAAAATGGCTGGCCACGAGAAAGAAAAATCGAGGGAAAAAGCCATTTACAAACAAGCCAGAAAAAGACGAACAGGAAAATAGGAGAAGTTGAATCTTCAAAGTCGTATAAAGAAAAGATCATATTCCAGTCGATAGTATTAGTCATAGTCGTAGTATTAATCTAAAGCGTATGCTGATGGCGGTAAAGAGCGTTGCTTCAGTGATGGTGGTGGTAGCGTTAATGACAAATGTGGGTTGTGGTCATTATAAGGATGGCGAGCGTTGTTCGTGATGGTTGAAGCAGTAATGTTTGTATTGGCAATGGAGGGCAAAACCGAAAGAAAATCTTCTAGTACGTAAAAGCATATTTACAGCAATCTTTATTTTCCTTTATTTATTTATTGATTGATTTATTTATTTCAAGACGTCCTCTTTACCGCCTGCCGTCACGGTATAAAACCAGCTTTCATTATTTCCGCCATCTTTTTTTCTTGCCTTTCTCTGTGTAACTCTTCTTTAGACCAGTTTTGGAACCCGTATTTTATTGTTAAGCCCAACAACAACAACTTAGCCCTACATCTCAACTACTAAAAAATAATTCAATTTAGTTTATTTCTACGCTTCTGTATTTTTTCTCATGTCTTCTTTGTAGTTACGACTCGACTATTCATACTAAAATTACTATAACCATTGTTCTTATTATCTCTTTTCGATTGAGCTTCCTTTTTGTCTTCTGAAATTTTCTTTATTACCATTTTCAACCATTTTCCCTATTACGGTGTTTCATTTTTTTTTATTTCTCTCGCTTTGACTTTTATTTATTTAGACATTATTTGTAATTTTGCATCTTTTATTTACAGTTTATTATTTTTCTTCTTCGTGTCATGCTACTATTCTGTCATCTACCGTTTTTACTTTTCATCACCTCCAGCTTTCCTTCATTTCTTTCTTCAACTCCTCCTACCTTCCTTTAATTTTTCTCTTCTTCCTCCTCATTTTCTCATCTTCTCTCTTACATCTTCTACTCTTCTTAATTTTTCTCTTCTTCCTCCTCATTTTCTCCTCTTCCCTCTTACATCTCCTACTCCTCTCAATTTTTCTCTTCTTCCTCCTCATTTTCTCCTCTTCCCTCTTACATCTACTACTGCTCTCAATTTTTCTCTTCTTCCTCCTCATTTTCTCCTCTTCCCTCTTACATCTACTACTCCTCTCAATTTTTCTCTTCTTCCTCCTCATTTTCTCCTCTTCCCTCTTACATCTCCTACTCCTCTCAATTTTTCTCTTCTTCCTCCTCATTTTCTCCTCTTCCCTCTTACATCTACTACTGCTCTCAATTTTTCTCTTCTTCTTCCTCATTTTCTCCCCTTTTGTCTTATTCACCACCGACTCTTAATTTTTTCTTCTTCTTTTTCATTTTTCTCCCCTTCTGTCTTATTCACCTCAAGCTCCTCCTCCTCCTCCTCCTGCTCCTTCTTCTTCTTCTTCTTCTTCTTCTTCTTCTTCTTCTTCTTCTTCTTCTTCTTCTTCTTTATTTTCCTCCTTTTATGTTTTATTCCCCTACTCTTAATTTTTCTCTTCTTTCTTCACATTTTCTCCCCTTCTGATTTATTCACATCCTCCTCTTATTTTTTCTCTTCTTCCATTTTATTTTTCTCTTCTGGCTATTTCACCCCCACTGATCTTCATTTAATTTTTCTCTTCTTTTTCTTCCTCCTTATTTATCTCCCCTTCTGTCTTATTCATCTCCTACTCTTTCTTTTAAATATTCCCTTTTCCCCTGTTATTTTTCTCCCCTTCTTGCAAATTCACAATCGCTTACCGTCTTTTTTTTTTCTTCTTTTACCTTATTCTTCCTTTCTTTTGGCTAATTCACCTCCTCCGCCATCTTTTAAATTTACTTTTTTTTTCTCCTTATCTCTTTCTGGATAATTTACCCCCTCTTTTAAATTAACTCTATTTAGCTCTCATTTTTCTCCCCTTCTTGCAACTTTACCTTCTCCTATCTTCTTTTCATTCTGTTTTTTTTTTTCCTTTTCTTGCCTCTCATTTTTATACCCTTCCTCAATTTTCACTACTTTTAATTTTTCTCTTCATCTTCGACTTCAACACTTATTTTCTTGTATATCTTTTTCTTTCTTTTTTTATTTCTTCTCCATCTTCTCCTACCGTCTTTAAAATTCTCTTCTAATCTTCCATCATCTTCATCCTCGACTTCCTACTTCACCTGTTTTACCTACTTTTACATTTTTCTTCTTTAGTTTCTTTTTCTTCAATTATTTTTGTATATTTCTTGGAAAATTTCTACTTTCCATGAAGACCTTTCTTTATTTTTTCTCATTGACCTTAAATTCTTTTCTTTTATTTCGTTTTTCGTTTCTTTAGTTTTTCATTTCTCCAGTTTTTCATTTCTCCCGTTTTTCTTTTCTACCGTTCTTCTTTTCAAACGTTTTTCTTTTCTTTCTTTCTTCTTTTCTTAGTTTATTCTTTCTTTTGTTCTTTCGGTCGTTCTGTTTTCATCCTCTCTGGTTATTCTTTCTTTCTTTCTTTCATTCTTTCTTTCTTTCTTTCTTTCTTTCTTTCTTTCTTTCTTTCTTTCTTTCTTTCTTTCTTTCTTTCTTTCTTTCTTTCTTTCTTTGGTTCATTCGTTCAGTTGTATTCTTTATTTTTGTTCATGTGTTTGTCTCTTTTATTCTGTAATTGTTTGTTCATTTCTTTCTTTCTTTTGTTTGTGCAATCTTTTTTCTTTCTTTTGCACGTTCATTCTCCCTCTTTCTTCCTTTCTTTCTTTCTTTCTTTTTTCTTTCTTTCTTTCTTTGGTTCGTTCGTTCAGATTTATTCTTTCATTTTCATGTCTTTTTCTCGTTTTTCTCTATTTGGTTTGCTCATTTCTTTCTTTCTTTTTTTCGTTCGTTCATTTGTATTCTTTCATTTTGTTCATTTTTTTCTCTCGTTCATTCTTCATTATATTTGTTCATTTATTTCTTTTGTTTGTGGGCTCACTTTTCTCTCTTTCTTTTCTCATTTTTATTCTCCCTCTGTCAGTGACATTTTTTATGAATATTTTATACGCCTTTCTTCCCTGTCTCTTCTTCTTTGAAATAAGTGACAAATTAGTGTTTTCCGCTGTTTTGCTAAACATGGCCTTGGTTGTCATTTGGATTCTATCTTCATCTTCTTTACCCTGGCACCTTTTAGCACAAAATCAATGTTCTATTACTACCTTTTCTCTTCTCTCATCCTTTCTTTTCTCTCGTTTTCATCCTGTTTTCCATATTCTTTTCGTTCCCTTGCTGCCACACACCTGCTTAAGTCTCGATGTATAAAGGTAGTATTTTGGGGTTGTTTGTATATTTCTTTTTCTTTTTTTTGTTTTACCTAATTACTTATTTGATTTTTTTTTCTTTGACTTGCATCTCGATTTAAGGAATAACCTTACTTCAGGAAAAGCCAAGAACCAACTATCGCCTTTAATTTGATACGAGTGCCAAGTAACTATTTTTCTTTTACGGTCTTTTATAATCACTTTTACCGACATTAATTTATTCTTAAATGTTACGCGTTCTTTCTTTTATTATAAATACTCCTTTATTTTCTTTATTTGTAAACTCGACATTTCTTTCTTTCTTAATTCGACATTTCTTTCTTTGCTTTTTTATTTTTTAGTTCTTCTTTCTTTGTAATTTCGACATATTTTTCTATCTTTTATAAATTCGACATTTCTTTCTTTTTTTTCTTGCAAATTCAACATTTCTTTCTTTCATTCTTTTTTTCATTCGTCCATTCTTTCTTTGTAAATTCGACATTTCTTCTTTTTTTTTGTAAGTTTCACATTTCTTTCTTTCTTTCTTTTTTTCTTTCTATCTTTTCTTATTTCTTTGTAAATTCGACATTTCTTTTTTCTTTCTTTCTTTCTGCTTTTCTTTCTTTTTCATTTTGGTTCATCACTTTTAAACAGTCCCTTCTTTCTTTCTTTCTTTTTTCTTTCTTTCTTTCTTTCTTTTTTCTTTCTTTCCTTCCTTCTTTCTTTCTTTCTTTCTTTCTTTCTTTCTTTCTTTCTTTCTTTCTTTCTTTCTTTTCCCTTTATCTCTACCTCTTCCGCTCTTGAAATAATTTGTTTGGTTTCATTCACTTACTTTTTCCATTCATTCTTACCTATATTCCCCGTTCATCGTTCCTCTTATGTCTTTCTAACCCTTTTTTATCATTTGGCGTCTCCTTTTCATTCGAATTTAGGCCCTCAATACACTTACATGCATTTTACTTCCACTTCTTATCTTTCGACTTTCGTTTTCATTTTCGGAATTGCTTTGCTCGTTCTACTTTTTCTTTTTGTAAATATTTCTTCCATTTTATTTCTATATAAAAACATTCTCATACAATTATCGTTTCTATTTCCGTTCTATGTAATTCTTTCTTTCTTTCTGATCTTTTCTTTTATAATACCTTTTCTTTCTATTCTTCTTTATAATACCTTTTCTTTCTTTTCTTCTTTTATAATACTTTTTCTTTCTTTCTTTTCTTCGCTTATAATACCTTTTCTTTCTTTTCTTCTTTTCTAATAACTTTTCTTTCTTTCTTTCTTTTCTTCTTTTATAATACCTTTTCTTTCTTTCTTTCTTTTCTTCTTTTATAATACCTTTTTTCTTTCTTTATTTCTTTCCTTTTCCGCTATGATTGATTGTTTGTTTGTTTCTTTGTAAATTATTTATTTATCTTTCTTTGTAATTTTTCTTTCATTTTTTTTTAAATGTCTTTCTTTCTTAGTAAATTTTGCTTTTCTTTCTCTCTTCATTTTTATTGTTTTTCTTTTCAAATTTCTTTCTTTTTTTCCTTTCTTTTTTCTTTTTATTTTCACTCATCTCTTCATTTTTGTTTTCATTTTTGTTTTCTTTCTCGATTTTCTTTTCTTTTTTTACATATATATTTGCCTACTCCTTGGTTTCTTTTCTTCATCATTTCTTTGTATTTTTCTTCTTTCTTTTTTTCTTTATACATTTCCATTGTTTTTAATTTTTCAAAGTATTATTTCTTTATCGTTTTGCTTCATTTTTTTATATAGGAAAATGTCTTTCTTTCTTTCTTTCTTTCTCTTTCTCTCTTTCTTTCTTTCTTTCTTTCTTTCTCTTTCTCTCTTTCTTTCTTTCTTTCTTTATTTCTCTTTCTCTCTTTCTTTCTTTCTTTCTTTCTTTCTTTCTCTTTCTTTCTTTCTTTCTTTCTTTCTCTTTCTTTCTTTCTTTCTTTCTTTCTTTCTTTCTTTCTTTCTTTCTTTCTTTCTTTCCTTCTCATCTAGTTCTTTGATTTGCTTTTGTTCTTTTTCTATTATTCCTTCTTGCATTTGTTTGCTTTTTGTTATTCTAAAACAATTTTCTTCCTTTACGCCAGCATATTTTGGTTTTATTTGCTCATTCCTTTCTATTTTAATTTATGCTTTTTTTATTATTTTTGATTTGTCCATATCTTCTTCGCTTCTTTTTTCATCAAATTCCGCCAATCATTCTTTTTATTCTCTTTGGTATTTTACCATCCAAACGAACAATTCCATACTTTCTCTCTCACTGACCCACACTCCCAAAATAATCCCTACTTTATTTCTATACACTCTTTTTAACTCCTTTTACTTTCATCTTTTTTCACATATTCCATAAACCACCCGATTTTTATTCCAACGTTCCATTCGCCATTATTTTTACTTTGCGTTTTGCATGCTGTATTATTCTCTCTCTTTCTCGTATTTTTATATTATTTGTTCCGTTTTTCGTTGTTCTCATTTCGTTTTCCGCGTGACTCGCGTAACACTCCAAATTTTAGGATTGCCAAATTACCGAAGATGTCAGCGTTTACTCAAAGCACAGCATTCAAGCCAAAGTACCGAAATTTACATGTTTGCGCGCATGTGGGCGCATTGGCGTCTTACAAATTATTGTATACATATATGCACACGTATCTCAGTCAAATACAAAAGTCACAATGACTAACCGAACAAAGTATAACATTTATATCTATGTGTGTATTTATAATATAGCGTGTACGTAGTATAATTGCGTACAGGCAAATAGTTTTACTATGATTACGTTTTTTTTTTTTTTTTTTTTTGTATATGTGTATTTATTAACACAGGGAGACACTTGGCTGTTTAAGTATTTCTACACATAAATTACGTTTGTACAAAGTTTGTAAACTGCGATATACATAATTTTTTAATTAGATCTTGGTCTGTCCGAGAACTTTTCAGCACGTTCCCGTGTGTATAGTGATTTTCCAAGCGTAGCTTCGATGTGGCACAAGGCCGAAATTCGGGGGCACCCAGTGAAGATCGGACTCACTACTCAGTCGTAATTGTTCTAGCGAGCCAAGCTTGCTAACCATTACACCGCCTTGAGGTGCCCAAATAGTGGTTTTCTAAGCGCTGATTAGATGTGGCACAAGGCCGGAAGTATGGAGCACCCAGTGAAGATCGAACTCACTACTTAGTCGTGATCGTTCTAGCGAGACAAGCTTGCTAACCATTACACCGCACTGAGGTGCCCTAGTCCCCGTGTGTATATGGTATAAAGTTTACGAAGTAATAAAAATTTCGGATTAAGAATAAATCCACAAATTCTTTAGAAATTGCTTTGTTATCGTTTCGCATACGAGACTGTGCAGTTATGAATTTTCGAGAAAAAAACTGAATGAGGGGGTAAACAGAATCTTGCTTATTCTCCCAACAAAATACACCCTGGGTAAGAGGATGAACTACGTCCGCGTCCTAGGTAAGATGATGAACTACGTCCGCGTCCTGGGTAAAACGATAAACTACGTCCAACAGAAAGGCTTCTGATCAGGAGGTTTTGAGGAACATGGAACCACCTCTTAATTACTGGTGTCCCCAGGTCCACCCTGACCCGGGGTGGTAGCGCCTGTTAGGGCCCCATCTATGGGCGAATAGCTAGCTCCCAAAGTGGGATCAAAGTGTAAAAATAGGTTTTAATACCAGAAATACTTTATAAAAAAATTATTACCAGCAAAACATTTTTGAAAAATAAATTATTACCAGCAATACATTTTTGAAAAAATATTACCAGCAATATATTTTTGAAAAACAAATATTACCGGCAATACATTTTTTGAAAAATAAATAATACCAGCAATATATTTTTGGATAAAAAAAAATTACCAGCTATACATTTTTTGAAAAAAAAAAAGAAAAAATTATAACCAGCAGTACATATTTGAAAGAAAATTATTACCAGAAATAGATTTTTGAAGAAAATTATTACCAGAAATAGATTTGTTGTAGAAAAAAAATATTGCAAAAAATAGATTTTTTGAAAGAAAAAATATTACCAGAAATAGAATTTTGAAAAAAGATTTACCAACAATAAAAATTTTGTCGGCATTAAATAACCCATTGAGGTTGATATGCCGTAAACCAAACCAAACCAAAACCCAAACCAAAACTAAACCAAACAAAAACGAAACGAAACGAAACGAAACCAAATCAAACCAAAACCAAACCAATCCTAACAAAGTGGCTTGCAGTTTCGAAACCTACCGTATAGCACATTTTCTTTATTATTTTTTCTAGATTGCGCAGGTCGATAGGCGTAATAGACACTGCTTATTTTATTTTATTTTAACCATTTCATCCCGAGACTATAATGCCTCCAAGACACAACTGGTTAACTGGGAGTGGAAGAGAGTGAGAAAAACTTAAAAAACAACAACAACAACAAAAAAAACAGGATTCAAGAAGACAAAAGATGGCGATTGACGTTACACTTAGATTTTTGACCATCGTGGGTGGCAGGAAAGCAAGAAACTTGAATAGATTTCCACAGGCGAGAAGTGCGAGAAAAGAAACTATTAGAATAGAACTTACGGTTACATCTCGCTAAAGTTAAACAATGAGACTTTAGTAACCAATCTAATAGTACACATAAAGTCATGCGGACGAGGTGCCCGGCGGGGAGAGTTCATTAGAACAATTAACATGAAAATATTTGCAGAAAAGATAGTGGGGAGCTAAATAACAGCGGCTGTGAGAAAGTGACTGAAGTCAAGATGTCAAGTCAGGATCGATTGCAGACATCTTCTTTGAATTTTGTCTCGAATCCAGTGATACATATTCAGCACACCAGACCAGATATGGCGGCAATCTTCAATGCACGGACGAATGGTAGATTTATAAATGTGCAAGATGGATTCTGATGGGAAAAATTGTCTGACACAACACAGTGAGCCAACCTTTTTCGCAGCAGACCTAGAAATTAAATCAATATAATTTTTCTGCTTCATATCTGCAGAAAACGCGAGACGAAGAAAGAGCAATGACTGGAGGTTAACATCAGCCATTCTGATAGATGGGGAAAAATAGTTCCCTATGAGAATTAAAGGATGATAGTTTCGTTTTGGACCCGTTAGTGTTTACAAGACATTTCTTGTGCCAGTTAACATCTGATTGGTGGTCATTTTCGAGTGCAGCTACCAGTTTTAATTCTTCCGGCTTAAACGGGACGTCGATTTCAAATACGGGTATTCAGTAAAAATAACATTTGAAGTAATTAAATCAAGTTTAAATGTAACTCGAAAGATTACATATATGTTCATAAAGATTAACTCCTGTTTTAGTAAATCACTTTACCTCCAAATATAAAAAAAAACACATAAAATCTTCATTAATCATCTGAGAGACTTATTTTTGCCTTCCATCAGCATGGCAGGAGAAGGACACATTTCGCCATCTCTTCGCTAACATTCTCGGCCGACTTGAAGTTTAAAAAACTATACTGGATCCATTGCTAGGTGTGCTGCTAAGAATGTTGCTTCACTGTCGTGCTAGACATTTACTTATTTTCATGTGCTGTCTCCCCTCAAGACGTAGGCGATCATGGCTCTCCAAAACTTTCTGTCTTTGATAAATTTTGTATTTCTGCTATTTATCGTAAACCCTGTTTCACCATCTATTCACTCAAGCTCAGTAAGTATGTTATGCTTCGTTTTCGGCTATCCCTCTCGCCTTCAGTCTTTCTTGTGAGTATCAGATTTTCCAAGCCCTCTTTCCTTATTATGTGCCCTAGAAATTTCAGCTGTCTTTTCCTGATGTTAAATATAAATTTCCTTTTTGTTTCTATTTTCTGTAACTTTTCCGTTGTTGCTCACATGTTTGATGCATCGTATCCTCATCATCCTTCTGTAAAACGATATTTCTGTTGCTTCAATTTTCTTCTTCATTTTTGAGGAGATTGTCCGTCACACACTGCCATGCAGAAGGACATCTATTACATAACAGTTTGGTACTCATTTCCTTGTTTCTAACGAAGTTTTTCTATTTCTTAGTGGTAGACTTAGCTTTTGGTGTGCATCTTTGGCTGTCCCAATACGCCTTCGGATTTCGGTGTCACACCTTCAGGTAACAGTTAAAACGCTTGTTAGATTTTTAAATTTTAGTACTTCTTTGATTTTGGTTTCACCGATGTGGAGGATGAGTGGTGTTGAAAGAGGTTAATAGAAGAATGCGTCTGGATTTATTTTCAATTTTATACATTAGGGTCTCTCTCTCTCCTCCCCTCTCTCTCCCTCCTCTGTCTGTCTGTCTGTCTGTCTGTCTGTCTCTCTCTCTCTCTCTCTATATATATATATATATATATATATATATATATTGTGTGTGTGTGTGTGTATCTATATTCTATATATACACACACACACACACACAATATATATATATATATATATATATATATATATATATATATATATATTACTTAAACGTTATAATTTATTTTTATATTGGATACTCGTATTTGAGTAGACGCTCCGTTTATTTATAAAAGTATTTATTTTCGTCTACTGGTCTGAATATTCGAGAAATATTATTTGAAAATAATGACATTCCGGCAGGATTCGAACCTGTTTTCTCCTAGGGCACGGCACGGCTACAGAGCGCATCGATTGCAAAACGCAGTCTGTATAGTGGATTTTGCACTTTAGAATCATCCTTTTGCTAACAACTATGCGTTCTGTCTTCTTGCATTTGATATTTAATCTTTTCTTCTCGCTTTACTTCACTATCTTCTGTAGGAATTTTTGTAGTTTTCTTGTCGTGTTTGCTATCAACACTGTGTCATCTGTATATCTTATGTTAAGATTGTGGCCGCCAAAGTCTAACATTCGTTCATGCCCCCGTCTATCGAACACCCTTCCTCTTTCTTGTCCCCTGACTGTTATAGTCTTCAAATATTCAAATGTAATATCAATCATCATCTTCAGATGCTCTGATCTAATTCTCAGTCCGTCTCTTTATCCTTTCCTCAATCACGCCTGTTTACTCTTGCTCCCACTTTCTGTAACCGCTTGCCTGCTAGTGGCACTTCCGCCTTGCTTGGGGGTGGAATATTTAAAACAAAACAAAACAAAATCCCCCCAAAACAGTGACTTAAGACAATTAGAAATCACACAATCTTATGTGTGGGTGGTTATGTCTCTCTACAAATTAATTTTCTTTTACTATTTATGAATTGCCAGGACATTATAGGAAAGCTAGTGGAGTAGTTTACTGTTGTCTCCTCCAAGCATTTTTTCACTATTGTTCACTTAATACAAGGCCCACGAGCGACTAAAGGTAGAGGTTTAATAAATATGGTTGTATTATAGACATAAAAATTTG